GGCTGACCCATCAGGGAAGTTAATCAGATGTGGATTAGATTTGTGCTGCCAAACTATTTCATGAGGGAGTGGATAAAAGAAAAGGGATCGATGATGAAATTAAGATCATTTTCTCTCTCTATATATTTGTTTTTCTTACACACACACATGCAGAGCTGGCCTGCCGTTTATCACTATCATACTGATGATTTGTACCTTCCTATCAAAACATTAGCTGACAGTAAGGGGCTCATTACAGATGCTACTCGGCCACCTGTCCTCCTGCAGGGCTAGTAAGTGATGGCAGCATGAGTTTAGCCTTCAGCTAAGTGTAATGAAGTTTGACAGTGCTAAGCAGCCAGGCTTGCTCATTAGCCATCCCCGGGCCAGCTTGCCACAGTAGGGGTCTGTCTCCTTGACTTTCTTTTTCATTTCTTACCTGCAGAAGCACAAAGTCCATAGGTCTCCTCACTAAACTGGCTTATTGCATTAATTCATTCCAAAATACCAAACTGAGTTGGAGTCGACCCAAATAACCCCCCTCATTTGTGTTTGCTTCCAAAAGGAAGCCGACTGCTTTGGCCACTGGTACAGATGAGCAGAACCATGTCTGGCAACACTTGGGCTCTTTTCAGATGACGAAGGCCTCTGCTCATATGGGATGACATTAACCCACAGTTACAGCGATAAAATGCTGCCCACAGATGAACCACTGGCTTCTTTAATGTTTAAACAAGCTCAACTCTAAAACACACACATTCACAGAGACCTGTTGGCTGAGGACAAACAGCATATCATAGAGTAACTAACTACTGTACATAAACACAAGATGACCTATAAAACATGACGTTTTACTGCACTTTAACTATACAGTACAAATGATCTATTAAAATCCCATAAACATGTAATAAAGTGCATATTTTATGAAAATCTAACCACATACTATAATTTTTTAAAATACATATAATAATGAAAGTTATAGGCAATGTCCTAGTGTTATGTAATCAAGTCAAACTACCATAATCTCTGGGCATTAATCAAAAGACATATTCTTCAGACATTTAATCTGCATGTTTATGACAATAAGGCACAATATCATTATTAACATCAAAAGATAAATGGAAAGCTGAGACTTGTTTAACTTTAAATGGACAATACATTGTCCAAATGTAAAAGTCACCTCCCCAAACCAAAATTCAAAACACAGCACTGAACCTGCTCTCACTCAAAACCCAAATCAGTTTTGTTTGATACATACTAACAGAACAATAATAATAGGTTTTAATTATAAAGCACCTTCCTCAATGCCCACGATTGCTTGGGCACACAGTGTTATTTCCAGTTTTGCTGGTGTAACGACTTTATTACCTGTAGTTTACACATTAAACATTAATGTGCTGGACCTGTCACGACCTCAGGCTCAGTAAGACTTCAGCACCATGGACAGCACCGTTTGTACCGGACAGCTCCTGGCACTTTGCGTTGGCTGCTCACAGTAAAGATCGAGTCAACTGCCAACCATCTTAGTGTTTAAGAATCACAAATCTTATCATGTTAGGGTCCCCAAAACAGAAAAACGGCCCCATTCTAAATCACTTGGTCTTTCAAGATTCTGTCCCAACATCGGATTTACCCTTGCCGCTGCGGATTTAACAGCTTTAAGTCGTAATGTTTTGTGAAAGCAGTGGCAGTATCCTCTAAGCCCCTTCCAAGGTCCCTTACCGCCCTTCACCCCACTTCAGAGGTATTAAAAGGCTCTTACCTGATGCTGCTTGCATCCAGCCACAGATCTTATACACGGTGGAGGTGCTGAGAAGGAAGAAGAGACTGAAACAGCCGATACAGGTGACAACCAGCATCATGGACATTCCAATGAAAAAAGAGGCGGCCTTGAACGCACCGGAGGGGATAGCGGAGAATTCAGTGAAGGTACCCTGGCAGGCCAGCTCTTTGGAGTGTCCTTCTCCGTCTCCGACGCAATAGTGAAAAAGGCCGAAGTAGCCGGCCTGCGGCGTATCCACGCCATCTCCAATCCAATAGGGCTGTGAGAAGATGGTTACGTTAACAATACCGAACAGGATAGTGAAGATGGCCCACAAAAGTCCGATGACACGGGAGTTGCGGACGTAATTGGTCTGGTACAATTTCGCAGCTTCTGCAGATGGTAGCATTGATGCGGCGGATCCAGGTATCATTTTATGCAATCCCGAAGACTAAATGAACGTCGTGATTTGTCCGAGCACAACGCGAGGACTAATCATTTAGCACATAAACAGCTCTTACAGGGTAATTCCCCCCCAAAAACGAGATGAAGTGGAGAACCTATGCCTGTGCAACCGCAACACAGCAACATCTGTCAGGCGCGGTCAACTCATGACGTCGCATCCTAAAGCCAGGCCAGGAGTGCTTGAACCCCTGGATATGACCGATAACTCTGACAACTCAACGTCTAACAGAAACAGGCTTTCACTTTGCTCAGTCTAGCCGTCAGACATGCACATCGCTGCTGCACCGTGTCGCTCACTGATGCCCTTGGAAAACCTCTGACTTGAAGAAAAAAAAAAACACCGTAGCCTATTATTCACACCGACCTTAGACACACAGCATAAGGTGCACACGTTACCAGCCCAAACAAAAATAGCAACAGTCCCAGGCTAAGAAACAGGCTGAATTGTGTCTCTGAGGGGGATCGCATCCAGTAAGACATTATAGACGTGTATTTGCAAATCAATACAGCCTACCATTTAGAAAATACGCCAGCTCGTGTCAGGATCGTAAACGAGAATGCATTCTCTGGTTTATGAAAGCATCACCAGGCTGTCAATGATGCTGGAAGTCAGAGGGGGAGGGGCACAGCAGAGCCCGTGATGCGCGCATCTGTCTGTGCCAACAGTGACACACGTCTTCTGGATGAGGCTGCGTTAACATGCACTGCTGAGGAAATAGCATTTTAGAAAAGTAGAGTTGAACGCAATCAAACGTGTCTTTCAATACGCTTAACAAAGCTCAGTCTGTGCTACTTTACTGCCAGGAAGTGATGTAACATGAACAGATAGCCTCTCTACAATGAACTGGCTACTTGTTTTTTAAATAGCCTTCCAAAAGAAAACTGAGTCTTCAAAGTACTAACCTTTCTCAAGAAAACAATCATCATGAGACATGTAATACTTCTTCTCTCACCTTTTCCATTTCTACTGCTGGGATTTACACTGTATATTCACATACAACTTTGCTGCCTACGTATATAAGACACCAAATAGTTGTAATAGTGAACCATTTCTTAAATAAAACAGTTGTACCCACAATTTGTACCTCCTTTTCTATGCCCTACACTTAAACTCGGTCACAACAAAGGCAAAGGGCCCTTTAGTATAAATGTTGTCCTTAAAGATTTATAAAATGAACACCCAAAGCACAACCTAGACTTAGGCCTACTGCAGTCTACAGATAGCCAATATGTACCTGAACATTAAGGTCTTTTAAGTAAAACTTGAAGCAAACAATTTCCACATTAAATAAAGACACTTCAGCCTCATGTTAATCTTCCACTTGTGGGACTATGCAGTTATACCTCTGGATATGATGGTAAAACTTATTATGTGCTTAGATGAATGATCTCTTACCACATTACTATGACAACAGCTAACTGATAGCACTTTAAATATTTCAATTGGCTCTTTTCTGTGTCAGATGCATTATCCTAATTGTGTTCCCTTGATGGCTACTCTGCATAATTTCAGTTGATCATGGATTAACAGCTGGAGGATTTGTTGCAGTTTCAACAAGAAGCAACTTCTCTGCTGCCTGCTCTCAGTCAGTCTCTGCAGAGTCTGTCCATTCTGCTCTCTCTATGCTCTGTGTGAAACAGGTACATTCGTTTTAACCCATTTTGGCCTATTTTACTTTAACAATAGACAGTAACTGCAAAGCTTAAATGTAATGTTTGCTAATATTACTGTAGTGTATTTGGTTCTCATTTAGATTTAAGTCTGTTATTCATCATTATCATCTAACTGCTGAATAGCTATGAGTTAGTCTACTCATATTTCAAATAAGATTTTAACATTTTATGGTAAATAACCAAACTGCTAAATGTGCTATTTGAGTTTGGATATAATTGATCTGCAGACAGCAAGGCCAGCTGAAGGACATACAGTGGGTATGGAAAGTATTCAGACCCCCTTAAATTTTTCACTCTTTGTTATATTGCAGCCATATGCTAAAATCATTTAAGTTCATTTTTTTCCTCATTAATGTACACACAGCACCCCATATTGACAGAAAAACACAGAATTTTTGACATTTTTTGCAGATTTATTAAAAAAGAAAAACTGAAATATCACATGGTCATAAGTATTCAGACCCTTTGCTGTGACACTCATAT